GCCCTCCTTACGTTGAGGTCCTTTTATTATCACAACTTTGGGTTCATATCTTAATCCAAAAGTAAGAAAAGCTATGGCTTTGCTTAGAGTCTGCGGAGATTTGTACGTTAAAATACTGCATTGTACTCGATTGAAAAAAAGGCGCATACGTTTTCGATTGTGCATAGGACAATAAACACCCGTTGAAAGGTGTCGGTGTAGAACCGCCTAACCAACTCTTAGGCCCCTGAGACTGGAACTTCATGAGGAGTTGATTGGCGAAGGTTTATTCGGCATAATGAACAGAAAAGGAAGTGAGAGAGGAGTACTGATGAGACGCTAGGCCGATGTCATCCTGAGAATGTTTCTTTGCGCTCCTCACGAACGGTATTTGGGGTCGAATTGCTTAACCGCCTCTCTCCCTAAAGGCAACTCAAACACATTAGTATATATTACAGTCGGTAATACTATTTATAAAGACTAAGCCGAACACTTACAAACCGAATGGTTAATTACGATAAAGTAAGCATTGTTCTGCGGAAAATGTTCATTTTTGTAAAGTTATCACCAAGTTCTTACTCCGAAATACATAAATTACTTGGTTGTCTGCCTTGGAAGCCTACCTTTAGAAGTATTTGTTCTTTTAGCCTTTGTACAAATCTTCACAGACTCCTTCACTTAAAAGGAAGTGCAGTAGCCGAAAACTCAGATTCAGCGGCTAATCATTAATGACTGCCGCCTGAAACGCCTGCACGCAACATCCGACTTACAAATTGTACCGTTCCATTATCTCTTCACCTAACGGAAGGAAATGCTCCCACCACTTTATTGCCATAAGGAAAACCTATTTTCTAACGTCACGCATTCCTTAATTTCAGTTGCCTGGTAACGTTTTAAAACGCCTCCAGAAGTGCGTTGAATGGGAGCCGCCGGGGTTAGATAGTCGCTTGCATATTCTCCTGCGTTCGGCAAGCGTGCTAACAGACAATGGTAGATCGGGGACGAGCGGAGGTGTCGGTGTCGGTGTCGGTGGCGGAGGTAGAGCTGGTAGTACTGCAGGTGTTGGTGGAAGCGAGAGTTCGCCCTGCCTCTCCTCGGCTCGGGGCGTGGATGTTAATCTCTGCTCCGCCAACAGCATCAATGGCTGCACTCACACGGAAGGCGCTTGCGCCGGTCACTCGCTCGGCTCATCGGGGGGCTGTGGAGGTGGCAGTGGCGGTTGCGGTGGGGGCACAGCTCTCTCGGAGGGCTGTGGCTGCACAGCAGTGGGTAGTGGCGGTTTCCTCTCCAATCGTCTTGTGCGTTGGCTCAAGAAGCAGATTTTTGTGCTCGGACGCAACGAGGATCAACACTCTACGGCTACACACATCTTTATTCATTGATGCGCATTCATAACTCTCTCATTTGATAGTTTTGATTTGATTAATAGCAACGCTGTGGAAGTCAACCTTCTTCTTTAAGCGGTTCTTAATTATAACTAATTAATCACATTAATCATTGGCAAATACTATGCATAGATGCATTTGCTTAACTTAGCTCGGTATTATTGCTACGTGCTATCGAGCTGTAACGACTGTTTGCAACAACCTGTGCCACAACCTGAATGACCAAGCTTGGGGCACCAAAATACGTGTGAAATGCTTTTCATCTGTTCAGCAACGGTTACAACATCTTGATAGCGAAAGAAACTGCGATACACTTTTGCATTGTACTTAAGTGAAAACCTTTTTGCCTTCGCAAAAGAGACAATCTTATCGGCTGTCTCAATAATTTGATAGTTCAAAACAGTGGATGCGTTATTGCTTCCAATTGCACTCCTGTCTCAGCTCAGGCAATTTTGTTGGTAGTCGGAAGTGCAAATTTGACGGAAAGACATATTGTGAAAGTACTTCAGGGGCGCTTTAATTCTCGAATTAATTGTTTGTAAACAAGCAACAGGAAGCCTAGTCGCTTTACAAGTTACTCCATTTGAAATTTGAGCGTTCGAGAAGAGTTTAAGCAGTGCCGTTTCCTCAACACCTGTCTTTAGTGAATGGAAGAACGTTTAGAGAACAAGTAAATGCACTAATTGGGAATGTAAGTCAATGGAGAAGTCGTTTTACCTTGTGTTCCTCTGTTTTCAGTAGCATTTGGTTCAGAGCTAATGTCTCCTCCCGTCGCAGGACTACGAATCTCTTGTGCAAGAAGGTGATAAACTTCATTTGCAGTTGGTTTTGTAGTGTTCTAGGTATGTTTTAAGAGGATTTTATTGTGCTTCATAAACATTTAAGATCTCTGCAGGGATGCGGATTATCAGGCCTTCCAATCACCCCAAACGGAACCACTTTCATGAAATATTTAGCTTCATTACAAGACAGAAATTTAAAGTAACCAGACAAGGTGTGAAGTTTGTCGGAAAATATCATTAACAGCATTTTGCCAATTCTGACCTTTGTAAAAATTCTTATTTTACGCAAGAGGTCAAAGCAATGCCGGTCTGAGGCCGACCTTCTCACTGACAAAACGGAGGAAAAATAAGCACCTATTAGCAAATATTTATTCGACCATAAGGAGGATGAAAATTTCCTGTTTCGTGAGCAAAGGCGAGGGACGTAAATTCCCCTCTGTTGAGGCGTGCTTTCTGCCCTAATTGGGCACTCATTTCTAAATTGACAAAATGACTGGCAAGCCTCAAGTCAGTCTCCTCCTTCGGGGTCTTGTCACCCTGGCATATGTTATGACAGGTATGTGCAATGCATTATGTAACGCTTATAAATAATACGTTCAGAAGTTGAACCAAATGTCTGATGATTCGTGACTCACGCCTGCGGGGGATCAGATTCACATAACGGTTGTCATTAGATCCGTTATCTGCCATAAATGGCACATAGCGTAGTGTGGAAGTCGACAGCGTGGTAGTTATCACTGGGATCGAGTTGGTTCATTGATCATTTGAAGTGACAATTAAACGCATTTCAGCGTTTGCGAAAAAAAATCGAGTTCCTTTGGTAATGCCTACTGATTCGCTTTGTACGTATGCCAGTGGTGATTGCAAAGTCCTCAAATGTATTGTGACTGCAGCAGCGCTAGCGTTAGGACTCATAATGCGAGGGGGGATGAAAGGGAATGACTGCGCTAATTATCGTTGAGCCTTTCGTTTTGAATTGTTGATTTCACCTAGGCTAAATAAAAGAGTCGTCGTCTAGCTCCTCCGTGAGTTGTAAGCAAGGCTATACTTGAGGTGTAGCAGAACTTGTCTAACGAATGTTACCTTATTTAAATAAAAATTATCCAAAATGTGTCTAACGCTCTTTGAGTAGAACGTTCAAACATAACTTCCATTGAATTACAACATGTGGAAGGGATTAAACAAAACAGTGGCTTCCAAATTCACAAATGCTTCATCGACGATAGGAGCAAAAAGTGGGGTACTGGTGTTATTTTCACAGACTGGTTCACCGAAACGCATTCGGTAATACGCGATGCCTAATGAAGTCAAATTGGACAATTTTTCGGCCTAATGAGATAGTGTGCGTACAAACGCTGGAGGAACTACTCTTTATTTATTCAGCACCGGAGTAGTAACTCAATGACAGATAAAAGAACTTGCCTACGGTATCTCTTGGAGAGCAGTCGTAGTTAACTGGTGAGCTGAGGTAAATCCCTCTTAACCAGCTAAAGCAGTTTGCAGTTGTTGTAAGTGCAACCATAGACTTCATGGACGTTTCTACACTGTTTTGGATACGAGAAGAGCAAACCTTTCGCAATGATGATTCGTTATTTGTGGAAAGTGAGCTTTAGGTCTTTTGTGAGAGACAGAGTTGACGTTGTTGCAGTCAAGCCAATTTTGGTTTCCAACTGATGGGACGCTACTTAAGAATTAATTTTTACACAAAACAAAGAACTCAGATCACCTTACTTTCTTCACCAGTAAATATGCAGCCACTTCACCATTCCCCATACGCTTAAGCCACACTGAAACCGATAGGTCAGACAGAACATCTTTGCTACAGAGACTCGGTTCTTCCAGGGTGGTTGGCATCAGACTAAACTTGAATACGGCCTGTCTACACGCAATGAAAAACTGGCGATGTGTCTTGATTCACTCAAAATTTTTAATTATCACCAGGAACCAACTTAACATTATCTGTTGCAAATCACCAAAAAGGAGGATGAAGAAGGGACTGCATTACCTGCTAACTCTGCAAAATGTAAATGCGCTCTCACTGATAAGGTGACAAATGTGCTTTCAAATAACGAGCACACAATTTGGCTTATGGACACCTTTTTAATTTATTGCACAAGATCTTAGCATTTTGGGATCTTTTTAAAGTGTTAATGCTTGCTAAAAAGTAGTATTTGCGCACCTTCCAAATCCATTCGTCTGCCTGTGCACATCGTCGCATGTTTGTGCTCAGCACCTCGTCTTTTGCAAACCAAAATAGCATCACTTTTCGTTCCAGTTGCTGGTCGACTCCTCATTGTCTGTTTAACGAGTAGAAGAGGCTGAAGGAGGAGGAGGAAGAAGAAGAAGGAGAAGAAAATGAAAAGGCTCCTCGTACATCTTACAGTTGTTAGGAGTTGTATCGAGTAAAATAAGTGGGCAATTACTTGATTGACACTCGAGCGAAGGACAGATA